TGTTAACACCCGACCCTGTTACCCATGCTCAAAACCCGCAGCTTGAGACTGCACGACAATAATCCCCCTCTTCCCAAAACTCCAACTCCATCCTCCATCTCCGCTCTAGCTACGCCTGGACTGGATGGGATTCTTCTGCAGCTGTCAATTGCTAATTAGCATACCACCCATATGCAACTCTTATTGGTCAGAGTTCTTCCCGCTTAATTAATATTCATAAGCTAACCCCGCCCCCCGCCCCCTCTCTCTGAACGTCGGCTGGTTAGGGTTTGGTGGTTGTATGATTTGACAGCTTAAAAATGCAAAACTGTCCAGAGCAGAAATTTGGGCGTGATTTGATAAATTCAGGCGCACTTCAAAACCCACTTTTTCCTCACAGAAGGTCTGGAAAAGTTCATGATATTCATTAGCTCTGTTAGAGGGAAATACAGTTTTATGCTTTCCTCTACATCAAAAGTTTTTACTGATGTAGTAATAAAGCTGTAATTGTGAATCTGGGTAGTGTGACAAGGTCGGATTGTTTTCTTCAATATTGCATCAAATACAATCACACAGATTCAATTAATTTCTTTCTGTGGAGAAGTCACTCACTAACACATTTAAATGAAACATATTTTGTGAGTCCCAGCCAGACTTTACACTCTACTACCAACAGCTTTGCACCCAGTGCTCCAGTGATAGGCTCTGGATTCACCCTGACCAGGAAAAAGTCTTTACTAAAGATGAGTGAGGTGAATGAACATTTCTGCAATTTCACAATAATCATATTTCCATAATTCTGTTATAATAATATCAGATTAAATCTCAACTATTTTGCAGTTTAGTATTCACTCACATGCTTATATGATGATACAAATGAATTTTATGCGTGTCATATCCAGGATGCATCTGTCTTGCATTGAGTGAATTCACCACAGCCCTGATCAGGATAAAGCACTTACTGAAGATAAATGAGTATTATTCATGTCTCCCACATTTAAGAATTTTACATCAGAACCTGTCATGTATTTCTAAGAGTAGGTCAGCAGTGCAGGAGAGTGTTCTGTCACAGTGGGTTATTGCTGCATGCATGGAGGCTTGGACAGACCTGGACTGTAAAAACAGAGTCCATGACACACAGCTGTCTTTAACAGTAACTGGCTTTCTAAGCAGATAAGTACCAAAACATAAAACATAACTGAAAGGTAATTATTTAGTTTCTGGATTCCTCAGCAGTAACTGAAGTGGTCTGCAGGCCCAGGATGAAAGCTTTAAGCTGTATTATTTTAAAATTATTACTCTGCCTAAAACACAAACTAAACCTGCTCTTCACGTGCCAAAATTCAGACATTTCAATGTGCAGTTTCTCAAATGTACTGTCAAAGATAGTATGACATCTGAAGCCGTACACACTGGTGGTCGTTTCATGTTTCCTGTAATAATGCAAGAGCGCCCCCAAGGGGGGAGGGAACAAATGTTGTGTGACTAATAACAATGTAATCAACATGGACACAAAAGGTTAAATGTTGCAGATTCAAAGCAAATCGCATCAATGAGACACTGGTGTGATAGTTGGTAAGTGCATTTATTGTTTTCCCTGTTACATCCTTATTGATTAACACAGCATTACAGAACTTAGCATGGTGATATTGACAAACATCACAACTTTCTGGCTACTGCTGAAATGAATGACGTGGAGATCAGGACTGGGGCGCCTAGCCTGGAGGCCAGCCCAGCTGACGGCCACCCAGAACATGAAGGTGGACGTGGTAGACAGACTGACCCCCATGAGGGCCTTCATTCACCACCATTCGATAGCCATCGGACAATCCCACCTGCTCAGCACACTTCTTGCCAACAAGCATCAAATGTCCAAGAAGCTACACACAGAGAGAGAGAGAGAGAGAGAGACTTAGATTACCACATGACATTGGGCTTTATAAACATGTTTTGGAATAATAATGCATGAAATACACTGCTGAATGGAATTCTACCTACACAGTTTTTTTTTTTAATTTTAATTAATAAATAATTTATATAAATATTGTCTAAGTAAACAAACTAGCAAAATGAATCATTTTATTTAACCTACATTATAGGGAAAGTGTTTTTATTTAACCTATATATAACAAAAGTAAAAACTGGAAGAAAAAACTGGATATTGCTGCAGCAAATAAACTTACATTGGCAAGTTTTAGTTTGAGAAGCCAATGCAGTCTTACTATGAAAAGAGAAATACACTATAACTGCAAATTTCATTTCAGTTTAATTCAGTTGCTTCCTTTCTTTCGTCGCTGTTGTTGCATGCTTCCAGAATTAAAGTCTACTCACTAAGCTGCTGAAAAGCGAAATCTTACTTTGGGTTGTAATTTCATCCCATCAACAGGGTGCAGATGTGACTAAGATGCATGTCTAAGTGTGCTAGACAGAAAAATAAAATCTGAGTAGATATCTGAGTTGCTGCAGCTGTGGTATGGCAATTAAACAGGCTTAATTGGACAACTCGCACTATTACAGTGTTGGGAAACAGCCAGATGGCAGGACAGATGAACTAATCCACAAGTCCCTGCACTGCTCATAGGCATTTGTTAAATGTGATGTGACGGCAACAAGTCAGAAGTGTCAACATATCCCATAATAATCAGGTCAGCACATATCTAGTCCCAGAAGAGTTAATGTTTCCACTGGAAATTCAAGCTGTGTCTTAGTTCCCAGTCCCATGTGTCTAGTTGTTTACCTGAGGATTACAAGGACTCTGTCGGTGAGCTAACTGCTGCGAACGATTATAAAATTCAGCACATACATGCAACCGTCTCAGAATATGTAGAACAGGATCCACTTACTGCTGCATCACTGTCCTCAGCTTTCGAGATCTGGGAAATGGGTTTTCTGGGGACTACTAAAAAATGAGTAGGAGCCTGCGGAGCCACGTCATGGAAGACTATGCACTTGAAAACAGAGAGAACAGAACAGTGTAATGAATGCACAGAATATGAAAACATTTGCAGTAGCATTTCACTGAGCACCTCTCTCGAGTTTTCGAATCAATATTCAGAGGATTAGATCACACTTGATCATGTTTATACAGAATTCACAGGAAGTGCCGTGTCAGGAAGGACGTGGATTTGAGTGTCACAGATCATTTGTGTGCCTTAATGCAAAGCGTCTTTGCTACTTTACATGTTTTTTTTTTTTGTTTGTTTGTTTGTTTTCCCCCAAGAGCACATCAGTATGTGTCTCCCCATGTCCGGAGGATGTCCAGCACAATGACTTGAGTGCAAGTGATGCAAACAGCCATGCGTTCATGTATATCCTGACAGGGAAACACACAGAGACAAAAGCTTACAGTTTTGATCACATATTGTAAATGATTTCTTTGGTCATAAAACAGATGTGATGTGCTCACTGGCGGCTTATGTAGTGCCACTGCGATCAAAGACAGCCGACGACAAAGTTCTGGCAGTGTCAGTTTGTCTCTGAGCGTGACTGATGCTATGAAGTTTGTCTAAATCCCACCAATAAGAGGAAGGCATAAGATGGCATGAAATTCACAGGATGGCTAGGAATACGGTAGTGGCAATGGCGAAATATAAACAAAACATTCTAATGGACAGAAAACTACCCCTATTCTTCAAAGTGAGCTTGAGGTGATTTTTCTGCTTATGTGAACCCATTTTCTGCATGAGCCCATGTCACGCTGATTGACGACGTAATCAGAACATAGTAATCATCTATCGTTAGAGGATCTTCATCGTATAATCTGACCTAAAGAACATGTCATCGGACAGTCTTCTATAATTCAGACAAGATTTTGCCTGGATACCATACAATCTGAGAAGTAATTCTCTTAAAACTAAATAAACAAGTAGGCCTATAAATAACGTCAACTTGGACCTAATGTATGCTTTAAATGGAAATTTCAAGAATAGAACTTAGATAGACAAAATTTTACTGTACACATTTAAACAATGTACATGAAATAAAGCCGTACTAAGGGGTGAGTGGAATTTATTTTACAGTTAAAGGGCTCCTTGCAGGTTTGAGAATGAATTACAGCTGCCACTATTCTTTAATAGCCAATTATAACATGCAGTATCACAAGATAAACACTTACACACACTTAGACACACAACATTACAAGAAACACAGCCGCAGTTAAATATAAACTTTGATAACACGGCCGATCTGTTGCTACAAATGCGAATCAGGTCAAATGGCGTAATCATCTAATAAAACGTAATAAAGATCTTGACATTACTTTCCAAACATGACCTGTTTGCTTTAGGCAACTCTGTTTTGAGCTTGCTATTCTTGCCGAGAAAATTTGCTCGACTTGTTACGAAGCTTAACATTCAAGACACGGTTCATACTTTCAGTTTCAGTGGTTTTAGTTTCACTGGATTCTTTATAATGAGTTTTACAATGCATAGTCTGCATTTTGTCTCTGGTTATCTGTAAGATATGCAACTATGAGGTACACTATACAGCCAAAAATTTGTGGACACCTGACCATCACACCCATATGTGGTACTTCCCCAAACTGTTTCCAAAAAAACTGTAAACACACTATTGTTTAAAATGACTCTGTATGCTGTAGTATTAAGATTTCCCTTAATACTAACCAGAGCTTTTTTCATTATAACAATGCCTCTGTGCACAAAGGGAGCTCTATAAAGACATGATTTGCCGAGGCTGGAGTGGAAGAACTGGAGTGGCCTGCACAGAGCCCTGACCTCCACCCCACTGAACACCTCTGGGATGAAATGAAACCCCGACTGCACCTCAGGCCTCCTCGAACATCAGTGCCCGATCTCACTACTGCTCTTGTGGCTGAATGAGCAAATCCCCACAGCCACGCTCCAAAATCTAGTGGAAAGCCTTCCCAGAAGAGTGGAGGTTATTATAACAGCAAAAGGGGACCAACTCCATGTTAATGCCCATGGTTTTGGAATGGGAATATATGGGTGTGATGGTCAGGTGTCCACATACTTTTGGCCATATAGTGTATATGAGATAATGGGGCCCTTAAGGACTAGCGGTTAGGCCATTGCGCTCTCACCGCAGCGGCCCGGGTTTGATTCCTGGCCAGAGAACTACGCCAGTGCACTTCCAGTGCCGGTCCTAAGCCCAGATAAAATTGGGGAGGGTTGCGTCAGGAAGGGCATCTGGCATAAAAACGATGCCAAATCAAATATGCAGACCAAAGATCCGCTGTAGCGAGCCCTAATGAGAGCAGCCGAAAGAAGAACAACAACAACGACAGTGTATGAGATAATCTGGGTAGGTCTGGAATAATTTCACTTGTATTTGGTCTTACAAAATTATGGGATACTTCAGTATGCTCTACAATAGCCTTTAATATGCAGTATATCAAATAATGCTAAGAAGAAGAAGGACGACATGAATTTCTGCCTGCATTCAGTTACCCACAAGCTAAAACTGGTTTGTCCAAATTTCTTTTTGGGCAGATCTCAGATCTGCATGTTTCCATATTTTACTGCAGGGATTCTCAAACTTTTTCCTTCCCTTTAACAGAAAGATAAATTCTGCAAACCTTCTCAGACCATAATCCAACTATTCAAACATTAGGCTTATGATATAAATATGTATTATCATATTCTGGCTATTTATTACAGCCAGAGAGTTTTATATTCCTCAACTTTCCACCGAAACAACACATTAGATCCAAGTGAGTTATTAAGGTTTCTGACCAAACAAGCTAATAACTATAAATGATTACTTATATTTAGCTAGAATTTGAAAGTTTGGATAAAGTTGGGTTGTAATTTTGAGCATTTTAATAAAATAAATTTATTTATTTATTTTTAAATCAAGGAGCCTACACTAATGCTACCTTCAAGTGCTATCCGAATTATCGTAAATACGGGTTTTCCACTATGAAGTGGCACATGAATGACCCCTCAAGTGGTAATTACTACTGGGGAACGCGGAGATTTTTAAAGTTTATTTAATTAAATTTATGTTTAACACCCGAGTTTCCGAGATAGGAGAAGTCCTAAACTTTCAACATGGCGGAGGAGAGTACAGTTTTGTTCATTTTCCTAGCTGTTAGCGCTTGCTGTTTTGGTCATATTCATGTATGTATATCAGCAGCCATCCTTATGCATAGTGTACATTTTTACACCGTGAAAATAGCTTGTATTTGGGAATATTTTGTAATTTCACACGTCAGTAAACTAGCTAACTGAGTAATGTGTTGTGGTGTCAAAATAAAAAGTAAAATTTAAAAAAAAAATCAAAAAGAAAGAATAAATTCATTTTTTCCGACAAGAGCGCATGTGAACACGACATCGTCGTAATTACGGCATCAGTAGTGGGAAACAGGGGAATTGCCGGAGCCCTTGAAGGCTGCATAAGCTAACAGCCGCCTGAGGCAGTCTGAGGAAACTCATGGTTTCAGGAGGTTACCATCTCAGCTAACGCTAAATACGACTTCTCCAACGCTAGCTGATTAGCAGCTCTGGATAAATCTGTTCAAAGACGTCGACGCCACGACTGTTTTTATTAGAAATGCACGGATTTTTACTGTTTACATGCAGAACAGTTTAACGCTAATGCGCCTGTTATATCTGCACGCGCGCAGCTAACACAAGCTAGCTAACAAACATGTACACACACCTGGTCATCTTCGTATATTATATTAGCAGGAATCTCCTTCCGAATTATTTTGCCGAAAATTGTATCTCCTCCGGGTTGTGCAGTTTGCGCCTTGGCTACTTCGTCAGCCATGGCGCTGAATCTGGCAGCCTTTACCAGCTACTGCAGCTTGTTGATGCAACCGCTCTGTCTTTACCTGATCTCCAAACTGTTTCCGCTGGACGGGTGGGTCACGTGCTTCAGCTGCAGTAGCGCGAGTGTATGACGCAACATGCGGTGGAGATGGCTTGAAGATCAATAAAAAAGGCATTCACACAGCCTGTCAAACTGAAACATGCATTAAGCAAGATGACCATCCAGAGGTTGATCATTTTCCTCTAACAGCATGCCCTGGAGTTCTTTATTCCTCTTATATCACAGCAATTTGCCATACATTTTTAATTATTGCTATTTTTTTTCCCATTTATACATATTAGTGTTGTGGAACGACTGTGAAGTTAGTTCCTGTTATCATTTCATGACTTGCAGCAGCTATAAACTCTCTTCCCCTCACTTTCTCTTAAAGGTAATAAGACAAAAAAAATGCACCACTGATTATTTTCCCATAACATCACTTCTAAAGCAGCAAAGTGTTTCACTCCTCTTACACCACAGCAATTTGCCAAATTTTATCTATTAAATTAAGAACGTCATACTCTTGTTATCACTTACCTTACAGCAGTCGTTCCCTCACCAACCTTTGTTTTTCTCCATCTTAAAGTTAATAAGACAAATAATACAGCTTGTTATTGAGAAAAGCACAATGCCTTTGCTCCTGAAGACTTTCCGGGTGCAGAAAACCTAAAGCTTTACCTTTGACCAGGGCTGTTTCTCAATCTAGGGACCCTACTGCTAGACTGTCCCAAAGCACTGACACTGGAGACTCCTTCCATAAAAATGTTAAATAAACATCTCGTTACAAAAAACAAAAAAACAAAAAAAAAACTCAACATATCAAGGATTATATGTTCTTTGTTAAATGACAACACATTTTGTTTATTACTAGACTTGGATTATGTGGAGCATTCACTATGCATGTACCTGTTTAGAATTAGCTGTTACTATAGAAAGGTGTTCAGTAGGGTTGAGATCAGAGCTCCGTGCAGGACACTCCAGTTCTTCCACACCAATGTTGTCAAGCCCTGTCTTTATGGAGCTCGCTTTGTGCACAGAGGCATTGTCATGCTGGAACAGGTTTGGGCCTGTTGAAGGGAAGGGAAATTGTAATGCTACAGCTTACACTGTCATCCTGTACAATTGTGTGCTTCCAACTTTGTGACAACAAAGGCCCATATATGGGTGTGATGGTCAGGTGTCCACAAACATTTGGCCATATAGTGTGTGTGAAAGTGGATAGTGTATGGATTGCTGTCAGTAGAGAAAGTGCTGTCAGTGTTAGCAGTTGTACCATATTTTTGCTTGTAAAATTAGGAGCAGTCATGGCAATTACTGCAGGCTGTTATTAGTAGCATGAGGTGTGTATATATATATATATATATATATATATATACACACACACACACCATTGTCAAATCTCAAATTGCAGTATCATATATTTTCTGCAAATAGTTCTTTTAGCAAGGTGCTAAAATAGTATGCACATGCATTGTCAGAAATAGCTTTGAGAATGAGTAGATCCAATTAGTTTAGTGAGAAGTTTAGGGGTGTTAGGCATTTTCATGGGGTCCGGTAAGTATAGGATTTGGACATAAATTATTTTGATTGAATGTAGAATGTATTTAATTTTCTAATGTATATACCTAATTAATTAGTATGTGAAACACCCAAGCCCCAACATGCAGGAAAAACTGCTTGCGAATTTGCTCACACTGAGTAGGTAGCTCTAATAGGCAGCTCTTAGTATTACTGCACACACTGCATATGAAAGGCTATTGTAGAACATGCTGATGATTCGCTGTGGCGACCCCTGAAGGGAAAAGCCGAAAGAAGAAGTAGAACATGCTGAACACAGTGAAATACACGTCAAACCGTACCATAACTATGCAGATTCTCTCATATATATCATACTACATAGTGTACCGGCTGCTAGTGAACTTACAGATGACCAGGGACGCAGCACAGGTTTATGCATTTCAACATTTATTATAAATAATCAACTGAAAGCTTATTTTAGTTGCCATAAAATTAACTTTTGTCACAAAGCAAAAACTGATAAGAGATGCACTTTGTTCGCTGCAGCAGAGCTTAAAAAATAACAAAAGAAAAAAGACCGAATACATCAAATGTCGGAAGGCAACCAGTACCTTAACATAATGATCCTACTGCAACTAGAAAATAAAGGTTACAGTAACTTTAAAAATACTGCAGAAATAAAAAATATTTTATTAGTATAAAGAACATTTTATTTTTCTTCTGTCCCCTTTAAAGCACATTAATGGTACTTTCATTAATATTGTCCCCATGGAAATATATTAATTTATTAATAATTTATTTATTCATGGTGGTGTTTGTGTCCACTTTAACCTGGAAACAAGAGCACTTCTCATACGGCTTTAATGGCAAGGATAATACTGAACATTCACAGACTGTGGTCATGTGATGAGAAATATGCTCCTGAGTAAATTAGCAGATTTCATGTTTTCAACAACGAGCACAAAACAAATGGTATTAACATTTTCCTAAATGACCTTTGGAAGACGCTGTGAAAGAGTCGACTGCACAAATAAATATGCTGCGCCAAACACTGCTAGAGTACCATTAATTTCACACGCTTGCTTACACTTTAGACATACAGACACACACAATCGGTCTTTTGCGTTCAGGTTTTGAGGAACTGAGGTAATCTCCAGTGACACTGACAGATAGCCAGAATGTCAGGAGGAAGTTCTGTTCCTGTATCCTACGCCTAAATGTTTCTCCAGCCACAGTTCAGCTAACTGCATCGCAGATGCATACGTACTCGCTTTGGACCCCAGGCACATTTTGTATTGCTTGGGCTCTAGATTAGTATCGCATTGGACAGGATGATAAACATGCACTATGCCGGGTTCTTGTGAACGGAACACTGTTAAATCAGAGTTGATGATCTTTGTGAATAAGTCGACATCCTCCAGCCCCCAGCCTTGTATTGAAGTGTCAAAACCTCCAACTTTTAGCAAGTCACTTTTAAATATGCAGGTGATGCCGAAGCCGTAATCTCGCCAGAAGCCAGTTTTTTTGGTGAAGACAAAGTTGCTGTCTTCAGTATGGCTCCCAGCAAAGACGATTTTGGGATTGTACTGGCTGAATACGACAGGAAAATAGACCTGTCTCCCTTCAATGGTATTGTCTCTACATCGCTGGAGTGCGTCACTACTGAAGACCAGATCCACATCACAGAAGAACAGCAGGGAGTTATTATTAAGACCAGAGGCACCCATTTCTAAGGCGAGACCTCTAGAAAACTCTCCTGCCATTGGTATTACAGACAGATCTG